AACGCACGCTTGACCATGGACTTCGGACTCCGGCGGAGGGTGGGGGGGGGGGGGTCGTATTTCCAAATTTTCCTTGACGCCTCGCTTGACCCTGGTTCTAAACATGGAGCAGGGCGCAGCATTCGTTGCGAAACCAACGCTGCGCGCTCTCCGCGCGCGGGCAGGGGAGGTGATCCCCTCATGCCGCCTCATCCTACGTGAGGCCAAACCGTCGTGCGTGCTATCCTCCGCGTTCTTAATCAACTGCGCTTAGTATAGTTGGCGAGTTTGCTCGACGCATTCTCTCTTCGTTGAGAGAACGCAGAGAAAACGATAAGTGGGTGCCGAGCACACATGGAAAATCGATGACACGTGACATTGCGCGCCCCAGTGCAACGTCGAGAGGGTTACGGTATACAGCCTATGTTCCTTAACCTTATAATCTTCCGAGCGCGGTAGGGTCGCGTTTGCATTGGCGAGCACAATCTTCCCCTCGGCCCAGCGCGGATAGACCGAGGCGGACTACTAATTTTCAAATGAGTGTAATTCTGTTCAACTCAATATTTTTTAAAACGCTAAGTAGATTTGTAATCTAAAGACTGCTAGTTTCAGAAAACTACCACGTTTGTGCAGTATCTCCAGAACTCTTTTAGTTATGGGGTAGAGAATTAAGAATTCACAGAAATGCGCACTTCTTCATTTGAAAGGTTGTAATTTTCTTCAAATAAGAAAGTGTGAGAAGTGGTAAGAAAATTTGAAACTCTAGATTGTTTTCTTTCTAAAAAGTACTCAAACTTTTGTAAAGTTTCATTTCTTCAAAAATCGCCCCGTTGGACCGTTTTTTTTGCGCACAACCGGGTTTTTTGGCTTTCAATGACTATAACTTTCTTCAGATTCAACCTTTTGCAATTCTTGTCCCCTGGAATAAACTAGAAGGTTAGAGCTTTCTAACGAATACTTGAACTCTTTTCAAAATTGATGGAGTCAAAAAATCGCCCCGTTGGACCGTTTTGGGGAAATCGCGGACCGATTTTTGAGAGCGCTGGTTTTTTGGC